TGGTGCCTGATAGTGGTTCCATGAAGCCAAGTGCCTACCTCTCCCCACTTCTTGCACAAATGGCTACCCTCGCCTATTTTTCACCAGAGAGAAGGGACTAGAAAAAGGATTGAGTACAGCCGAATCAACCACACATCCGTGCTACTGACTACCATGAAATAGCTGGGTTGTCTAGAGTACCTGCTGACCAGGGGTCTCTCCAGAGGTGCCTTCTAGCTGCTGTTTGCCTGGCAAGCCTCAGGTGCTGCCTTTGCCACAGTCATGCACTGACAACTGGTTTTGGTGGGGCCAGTGAACACCTTCCCTTCCATTCCTGCCTAAGTCACCAATGGGAGCCACTAACTCTGCTGTCTACTCCAGGGAGGTCACATCAATGAGGGAAGCCAAGGCAATTCGGTGTGAGAGGAGGGAGTGATGGGCACAGGCAGAGTGGACAGCATTCATCTAAATGGAGCAGCCAGTCCTGGGTGCTGACTGTCACTGTGCAGGAAGATGGACCGTATGCCCCATCTTCAAATTTTTCCAGAGAATCTGGGGAATCCAGAGTTTTGTACGAAATATGATTGCAACAAATAAAAAATGTACATGCTCTACAGGCAAAATAAAACCCATCTGTAGACCAGACCTGACCTGAGGGTCAGCTGCATTTAACTCCGTGAATGCCTGTCATGTGCCAGGTGAATGGAGCGTGGTAGTGGCCCATGAGAAACAAGGAGAGAGGAGGAGACCTTGACATAAACTGACTACAGCGGTCCACGGTGATGAGGTGCCGTCGGGACAGCGCTAGCGCAGAATGAGCAGTCACCGCGCTCTAGCCCCTCAAAGCTTCTCCGTTAAGTAGTTTATCATCTAAACTGCACACAAGAATCTGGTGCTCACAGAAACCGGAGACTGGTCTAAGAATTCTTGACTTCAAATCTTGCATGAGAAGGCCCACTGGTGACACTGGTGACTACTGGCATTATCCAAACACGAACAAATGAGCTGAGGAGAACCGGAAGGGCAGAGAAGAGGGGCTCCTTGCCCTGAGCCTCACTCAGGCCCAAGCAACGGTCTGTCTCCCCCTCTCAGTAATGCCCTTGAAGCTTGAGTGCTGGGCGTGGCAGAATCGTTCCAGGCCTGTGGTGTTTACTTTTGGTGTCAGCACCAAAACTCATCAGGGAGGAAAGTGGAGCTGAATTATTTAGAGCAGAAGCTATGTGGGGTGAGGGAGTAGAGCCCATGTTTTCCCTCTCACTCCACCTCAGCGGGCTGTTAGCACCTAAGTCATCACAACTGGGGCTTCAGACATCCCATCTGTGCACTCCCACCGGCCTCTGCTGTTAACTCCAGGAGGCAGCTCTTGGAGATCACTCAGGATGGCGGCAGCGTGGAAGAAGAGGTACAGTAGAGAGGGGAGGCGGGGCTCTGGGACTGGGCTCCGGGACTGGGCTCCGACTGATATAGCTGAAGAGCACAGGTTTTCTCTTAGTCCCCAAGCCCCTCTGAATTTGAATTTCTCCCTCCTGAAAACCACTGGGCTGCTACCAAACATTTGTTGAGTATTGGTGGCATGGAGTGTATAGTGGGTAAAGAAGGAAGAGGGGATCTGCGGAGGGGAACCAAGGTCCCCTAAGAACCTGGAGCCACCTTGGGAGGCAGGAATAGGCCTGGGCCCTGAGCCCTGTCCAGGGCCTTTGCTAGCTCTTGTTTATGAGAACTATGGCCTGACTACACAAGAGAATATGGTAGCAATGATGAGAGTGAACACTTAGCCCATACAATGTGCCTTGTATTGTACTAAAAGATTTACCTATGTATTAACTTATTTAACTTTTTCAAAATACTATTATCCCCATGTTATACATGAGCAAACTGAAATCCAGAGAGATTACGTTAAATAACTGGGCCAAGTTCACACTGTTGGTAAGAAGCAGAGCTAAGATACAAACTTGGACAGGCTGGTCCCAGAATCTGTGCCTGGAAACACGACTTGATAGGAATTTTTTTTTTTTCCCTGAGAGGGAGCCTCATCACTCTCACCCACGCTGGAGTGCAGTGGCACAATCTCAGCTAACTGCAATCTCTGCCTCCCAGGTTCAAGCACTTCTGCCTCAGCCTCCCTAGTAGCTGGAATTACAGGTGTGTGCCACCACACCCTGCTAATTTTTTTTGTATGAGTAGAGATGCGGTTTCACCCTGTTAGCCAGGCTGGTCTTGAACCCCTGACCTCAAGTGATCCACCCACCTCGGCCTCCCAAAGTGCTGGGATTACAGGGGTGAGCCACTGCGCCCGGCGCCGATAATAAACTTTTCTTGTCGCCTGGAATGGATGAAAGTGGATATAAGAACATTCTGTTATTTTTTAAGTAGTTTAAGATTTGGGGGATTCCCCACCAAATTTAATGCACTCGGCAAATAAAATTGTTAGTGAAATTTTAAGTTTACTAGGTCTCAACTGAAACTTCTGAATTTATCTACCCTTTAAGAAACTTAATATACTTTAGGAGGCCAAGTAAGACAGATTGCTTGAACCCAGAAGTTAGAGACCAGCCTGAGCAACGTGGTGGAACTCCATCTCTACAAAAAATATAAAAATCAGCCTTGTGTGGCGATACATGCCTACACTCCCAACTACTCAGGAGGCTGAGGTGGAAGGATGGCTGGAGCCCAGAAGCTTGAGGCTGCCATGAACCATGATCATGCCACTGCACTCCAGCCTGGGTGACAGGGCAAGACTCTGTCTCCAAAAAATAGTAAGTTACAGCTATCAATTACTAAATGGCTACCAGCATTTTACTATGCAAAATACCTTACACCCTTTTTTTTTTAAGATGGAGTCTCGCTCTGTCACCCTTATTTCTAATCCTCTTCACAATCCTGTAGGGAGAGACTCCATTTTATGGGGGTGGAAACAGACTCAGCATCTTCCCTAAGAACTAACAACTGGAGGGCTGTGGTCAAGCCCTGATATGTCTGTCTGTTGCAGCTCTGCTCTCTGTGCCAACCACTCAGGCAGCGACCAAACTGCCCATCGGGATTATAAAGTAAACTCCACGTGTGTCCTGAGCTTGCCAAACCTGAAACAGCCTCTGGTGGCTGACCTTTTTACCACACATGCACATGCTTACCTGCAGCAGGGCCTCAATTTATCACATAGGATGAGTGAATCTAGTTTTCCATTGGTTCTTTAATTGGAAAATTCAGGGAACCCAAAACATCTATTCCTACACATTTTCATTACTCAAAAATGTTCTGGCCAGCACGGTGGCTCATGCCTGTAATCCCAGGCTTTAGGAGGCCAAAGTGGGAGGACAGCTTTAGGGCCAGGAGTTTGAGACCAGCCTGGGTGTCAACGTGACACCAGCCCCTAGAAAAAAAAAATATATATATATATATATTTTTTTTTTAATTTCTGCAAAACCCCAGTGTTAATAATTTTATGTAAAAATAACATTGATTTTATTCCTAAGAAAAACCTGGGTATATCCTGCCAAGGGTGAATAATAGTGAAAATGATGCTGAGCACATTCTTGGTCACTAACACTTCATTGTGTTGTCTTTTTTTTTTGAGATGGAGTCTCCCTCTGTCACCCAGGCTGGAGTGCAGTGGCATGATCTCAGCTCTGCAACCTCTGCCTCCCAGCTTCAAGCGATTCTCCTGCCTCAGCCTCCCAAGTAGCTGGGACTACAGGCGCTCGCCACCACACCTGGCTATAGAGACAGGGTTTCACCATGTTGTCCAAGATGGTCTCCATCATCTCCTGACCTCGTGATCCTTCCACCTCGGCCTCCCAAAGTGCTGGGATTGTAGGCCTGAGCCACCGCAACCAGCCGTGTGTTGTCTTTTTTAAAGACCCCAGGCCTCAGTGAGAGTGGGAAAACTCGAAAACCCCTGGGTGATCAGGAAAACAAGCCAAAGCTTGGCCCTCCCATAGTGTACTTTAAATCTGGGAGGGAAGTTACCCACCACTTCCCATGAAAGTTCAAGCCCCTGGCCGCGGGGCTGGCTCATCACCCCAAATGCACCCTGCTCCCTTTCCTACTCAGGTCCTCTGGCCCGGGTTTACCACCCAGATTCTCAAAACCTGAAATTTTTAATTTAGAACTTACGTATATTTCCCTTACCAGAGCTATTTTTATAGAAAGAGCAACGTTTACACCAAATAAAGTATAACTCTGGAATTTACCAAAATGGCTGCAGAAAACAACCACGAAGATAGATCCTTTTTTAAATGTTTTTTTTAAATTAACAAAAGTTCGGGATAACTCATCACGTAATAGGATTCTCTACCTTGGGCCTCTGGATACTCATCTGTCCAGAACAGTGGTCAAACAGCAAAGACGAAGAACACTTCAAGGGCCTGGCTGAAGTTCTTGGCTGAAGAGCGTTCGCCGAGGCTGCAGGGCCCGGCCGAGCTGAGGGTCCCTGGCCCTGGGTCCTCCCGTCCATGCCGGTGCCCACTCCTCCCACAGGGCCCAGCCAGTGCAGGCCATCCCTGTCCGCCTGACCAGCCTGAACGCCACGATGCAGGGAAGCGCCTGGAGCCTGCCGGGGCTCAACACCTGCCCAGCTGTGAGCCGGGAAGCCCGCAGGTAACCAGAGCGGAGGCAGGCCCGGATGCAGGGTCACGCAAAGCCCACGTGCATCCCGAACCCAGAACAACGCGCCGTGGGGGGCACACCCGATTGGCCGGCTGAGGCCACGTGTCTGCCTACGGCCCAATCAGCGATGGCGGGGCATCCGGGCGCTCTGGTCGACAGGGTCGGGCGCTCTGGTCGACAGGGTCCGGCGCTCTCCTGGAAGCAGGAGAGGAAGTGCGATCCCAGAGTGACTGGCCGGCTAGACGGCCCAGGGTGCTACACCCAGGCAACGTCAGCGCAGGCATCCACGGCTTCCCCACGGGCCGCACTGCCTGTCCAGGTCTGTGGAGGCCTGCCTCCGTAAATTAGGGGTCATTCAGGTAGCTGTGTGCCATCCTCCCCTCCCACCATCCCCATTAGCCTCGGGAATTTTTGTTAATTGTTTTATTGAGATAATGTACATACCACTAAGCTCATCCAGTTAGAGTGTACCATTGAACAGTCTTTTGTATATTTATTTACAAAGTTGGACAGCCATCACCTAATCTAACTTTGGAATCTTTTCATGATCCCAAAAAGCAGGGTTTTTTTTTTTTTTTACACATTTCCCTACAAAATAACTTGAAGCAAATTACATAAAAGATGTATACAATGAAGTTAAAAAGAAAATAGAAATGAGGATCCAAAGACCAACGGAAGCAGGTCACATTTGTCAGCCTGGGGTCAACGTCGGTGGTGTGATGAAGCTGCCCGTTTAACTCCGGTCTTGGCTAAGAGGTTCGAGTTACTAGAAAGGGAACAAGACACAGTTACTCAAAGAAACAAAGCACTAAAAAAAAACATATATACACACACACACACATATGGTTGTTTTTTGTTTGTTTGTTTTTTGAGATGGAGTCTCACTCTGTCACCCAGGCTGGAGTGCAGTGGCGTGATCTCTGCTCACTGCAACCTCCACCTCCTGGGTTCAAGCAATTCTCCTACCTCAGGCACGTGCCACCATGCTCAGCTAATTTTTATTTATTTATTTATTGTATTTTTAGTAGAGACAGGGTTTCACCGTTTTAGCCAGGATGGTTTCAATCTCCTGACCTCGTAATCCGCTCGTCTTGGCCTCCCAAAGTGCTGGGATTACAGGTGTGAGCCACCGTGCCCAGCCGACTCTTTTTTTAAGTTTAAGAGAATGCCAAGTTATGTTACCTTCAGCATCTTTCACAACATTCTTATAGCCAAAGAAATAGCTTTATTTCCTTAGACCTTTACATCTCAATTTTGAACATATTCTGGGAGAAGCCAAACCAATGTGGCATTTCAGTGTATTTACAGAGCATTAAGGAGGGGATGGAGGAGAGACGAGATGGTGAACTGGCCATCTGAAATGGTTGCAGCAAGGAATAGCCGGCAACTTTTTCCATCTCCTGGGATGGGTGATCAGAGCCACAACTGTGAACAGAGTTCCCTCTCCCCCATAGTGGAACCCCACATTCTCAAGAGAACCACCTGCCACAGAAGCACAAGGATACAACAGGCCCAGCTGCCCCTGGCCACCCCTATGGTCCACCAGGGCCATCTAAGATCTGCAGAGATGGGAGGAACTATTAGGGTCTCAGGTCTGGGGGAAAATGCCTAAGGATTTCTGCCTTCCCTTTCCCATCCTCTCTCCTTGCCCACCCCTCTACTCCCCCACACAGCCCTCCCACACCATTTCTGGAGGATCCAGACCATGTGCAGAGAAAGGAATTGTCTATGAGGCAGACCATGCCCCCGGCACCCAGGTCCTGCCTTCACTCAGGAAAAGGGCAGCAAATGTACTTGAGATTGAAGCTTGAAAGTGATGGGTAGAATTGATGTTACATGCTTAAGGAGTTACAGAATTCACCCAAAATGTCATTAAGGAGCTAGAAGGGGCTGGGCATAGAAGAGACACGAATCCATTTTTATAAGAGTGACCCTGACCCTGCTCCAAGGATATGGGGGATGGGCACCTCTGCCTGCAGCTCACCTCCCCTGACAAGCTCCAGTGGAAGCTGTCCTTCCTCTTCACTGGGAGGCTTGTTCAGGAAATCCAGTTCATTCCATTATTGGGAACGACTCGTCCACTGCAGGAAAAGTTGAAACTGGAGGTTTTAGCATCTGATGATGGAGCCTTCTCTGCAGGGGCCACTGCCACCCCAAGGCCTGCTGCCTCCTTTTCCAGCTGGCCTCTCACCCCAAGAAACCCCAGCGAAGCCAGTGCACTGACAGGCCTCCAGTCCCTGGAAGGCTGGGGTCATGCCTGGGCCAACACCTGGCAGAACTTCAAGAGCCTTCCCTATAGGACTTGCCCGCCTCCCACTGCAGGGGCTGACTCTTCAGCGTCTGCTCTTTGAGAAAAGACACATCTGCTGTGAATGCAAAACTCTGTGTTCAGTTTTCTCATCACAGCATTTATATTTAGGGAATTTAGGGAGTTGTGAGAGACCCCACCTTGGGTGAGGAACCAGTCTCAACATACACTTAGGATTGTCCTGCTGACAGGGCATCTAATCTGGTCCCCACCTGAGGCTGGCATCCCACCCAGCACCTTTGTTTGGCCATCTCCAGAGATGGAGCGTTCAGCCCAAGGCCCTCAATCTCGCAGACAGGAAGTTCTGTGTGACATTCAGAACATGCCTGTCTGTGGTTTGCCACTGCCCCTGCTTCACTCTCTAGTCACAGAGAATTAGAATTCCTTCAACTACTTGAAAATAGCCTCAGGCCAGGCTCAGTGGCTCATGCCTGTAATCCCAACACTTTGGGAGGCGAGGCGCGCAGATCACGAGGTTAGGAGTTCGAGACCAGCCTGGCCAACATGGTAGAACTCTGTCTCTACTAAAAGTACCAAAATTAGCCAGGCTTGGTGGTGCACGCACCTATAGTCCCAGCTACTTGGGAGGCTGAGGCAGAAAAATCGCTGGAACCAGGGAGGCAGAAGTTGAAGTGAGCCGAGATTGTACCACTGCACTCCAGTCTGGGCAACAACAGAGCGAGAATCTGTCGAAAGAAAGAGAGAACGAAAGGCAAGAAAAGAAAAGGAAAGAAAAGAATGGAGGGAGGGAGGGAATAGCCCACATTCCCACCAAAATCTTCCATAGCTAAAATCTCCAGTTTTTCCATATTTCCTGGAGATGGTGACTTGTTTCCAGAAATGGAGTGAACTGGATTTCCTGACTGGCCCCCAGTAAAAACCAAAAATCCTGGGTCATACGTTTTTTAAAATATCTTTCAATGCCCAGCAATATAGCAAGTAAGCCACAGAAGGGCCCTGGATAGCAAGACCCTCCCTGGTCTGGTCCAGCTCACACCACAGCATGGGTGCCCTCCCAACTGAGCCCAGATTGAGGGGCAATGTCAGGGGCTTCACAACTTTCATCGCCCATGATTCTCCACCAGGGATCTGCTGCCGTCACTTGGCTGCAGCCTGTCCTTCCAAGTGCCACACTTTGCCCCCATGTTCCTCTCCCTGGGGCCTGCTCTTTCCCCCTTCTTTATCCGCTCAGACTCAATGTAGGTACTCCCTCCACTCAGAGCTGGGAGCCACACCTTTCTCCAGCCCCAGCACCTCTTCCTGTCTGTACCACACATAGCTGCCCCATCCACACTGCCCACTGGGGCTTGAAACCATGCCCGGCCCACCTTCCTAGTTGACCTGTGTGTCCCAGGAGGACAGACCCATCAGCATTGGGTGCCATGCTTCTTGCAGCAAGCCCAGTCCTTTGCTGTTAATGTTTAACAAGAATATTGCACTTTGGGAGGCCGAGGCGGGTGGATCACGAGGTCAAGAGATCAAGACCATCTTGGTCAACATGGTGAAACTCCGTCTCTACTAAAAATACAAAAAATTAGCTGGGCATGGTGGCGCATGCCTGTCATCCCAGCTACTCAGGAGGCTGAGGCAGGAGAATTGCCTGAGCCCAGGAGGCGGAGATTGCGGTGAGCCAAGATCGCGCCATTGAACTCCAGCCTGGGTAACAAGAGCAAAACTCCCATCTCAAAAAAAAAAAAGAATATTGGTGGGATCCGGGTGTGGCGGCTCACACCTATAATCCCAGCACTTTGGGAGGCTGAGGCCGGCAGATCACTTGAGGCCAGGAGTTTGAGACCAGCATGGCCAACATGGTAAAACTCTTGTCTGTACTAAAAATACAAAAATTAGCCAGGCCTGGTGGCAGGTCCCTGTAATCCCAGCCACATGGGAGGCTAAGGCAGGAGAATTGCTTAAACCCAGGAGGTGGAGGTTGCAGTGAGCCAAGATTGCACCACTGCACTCCAGCCTGGGCAACAGAGCAATGCTCTGTCTCAAAAAGAAAAAGAAAAAAAAAGAACAGATGACTTCAGCCCTAGCAGACTCTTCCCCTGCAGGAATATTGGATGCCTCTCAAAAAAAAAAAGAATATTAGTAGACTTAGTGCAGCCATCTTCTTTCTGCTGGAAGACTGGTCTTTTTTTTTTTTTTTTTTTTTTTTTTGAGACAGAGACTCTCTCTGTCACCAGGCTGGGGTGCAGTGGTGCAATCTCAGCTCACTACAACCTCCAACTCCCCGGTTCAAGCGATTTGCCTCAGCCTCCTGAGTAGCTGAGTATTACAGGCACACAGCACCACTCCCAGTTAATTTTTGTATTTTTAGTAGAGGTGGGGTTTCACCATGTTGGCCAGGATGGTCTCCCACTTCTGACCTCGTGATCCACCCACCTCAGCCACCTAAAGTGCTGAGATTACAGGCATGAGCCACCGCACCCAGCCTCACAAGTGGTTTTTATGGTACTTTGCACACACCTACTCTGTGCTCCAAAAGGTGCCCAGGCCCCAGATACCTTACCTGGAAGAGCTGCCTTGTAGAGGCATCTGCGCGTGTTGGGCCCTGACACCAGGGCAGTGCCTCCCTTTCGGAGGTCAGAGCCAGGCAGGCCTCTCTATGACCTCAGGGGACCTATGGGCTACCCATGCATGAGGGCCCCTTCCACTGCGGGAACTGAGACTCTGGGGGGTGACCAGACTTTTGGAGGTGCTTGAGGTCGGAGGTTACACAGAGTATGGAAGTCAGAAGACATCACCCAGGTCTGTGGAATTCCACGGCCTCCCTGCCACATGCCAGGCACCACACCAGGCCAAGGCCAGCCCTGGGCATGAAAGTGTGAGTGAGCCGGGCACAGTGGCTCATACCTGTAATCCCAGCACTTTGGGAAGCTGAGGCAGGTGGATCACCTGCGTTGGGAGACCAGCCTGACCAACATGAAGAAACCCCATCTCTGCTAAAAATACAAAATTAGCTGCACATGGTGGTGCATGCCTATAATCCCAGCTACTCAGGAGGCTGAGGCAGGAGAATTGCTTGAACCCGGGAGGCGGAGGTTGCAGTGAGCCGAGATTGCGACACTCCAGCCTGGGCAACAAGAGTGAAACTCCCATCTCAAAAAAAAAAAAAAATGTGAGAGGCAGCCTGGCCCCAGAAAGCTTCCAGTTGACAGGTGATGCTGACCCACTAACCTTAACCTAATCCCTAGCCCTGTGGTTTCAGCACCAGCAGGCTAGGAAGGTGTGCACAGGGCATTTGAGAGATGCTGCGTGCCTGCAGCTTCGAAGGGAGGAGGAGCTGGCGGGGAGGGGAGGCCTCCCAAGGAAGACGAAATAATTTCCTCCTGGCAAGCAGAAGACAGGTGTAGGGGGAGGGAAGGTAGCTTGCATGGCAGGGCTGGGTCAAACCAGGCCCCATAAACCAGGTAAGGCGCTTGGGCTTATCCCAAGGGAGAGGCTGCGGATAGTGTGGTCAGATTAGCTCAGAGGACGGTCAGTGGAGCAGGGCAGGACAGAGACGGGAGGTGGCAGTCGTGATGGCAGCTGGAACACTCCGCTCTGTGGGGGCAGTCCCACTGATCAGGCCTACCTTCCCACCACCCTGGTTCTAGCTCTGCCACCCCCAGCAACCATGTCTCCTAGGGAAGGGCAGAAGTCTCTGCAGGGGCCACAGGGGCTACAGGGGCTACAGGGAGAAGGCCAGGGTCCACTGGCCACAGCGCAGCCCCCTCACCTTCTGGCTGTGTGGTGAGGGGCCTGCAGCCTCTAGGAGCAGCTGCCAGGGCCTAGTTCCTGCTCCACCACTCACCTTGGCCAAGGACTTCATCATCCTGATCCTGTTTGCTCATCTGTGCTCCGCCCGTAGTTGTGAGGATTTTTTTTTTTTTTTTTTTTTTTCAGACAGAGTCTTGCTCTTATTGCCCAGGCTGGAGTGCAATGACACAATCTCACCTCACTGCAACCTCCACCTCCCAGGTCCAAGTGATTTTCCTGCCTCAGACTCCCGCCAATTTTTGTATTTTTAGTAGAGACAGGGTTTCACCATGTTGGCCAGGCTAGTCTCGAACTCCTGATCTTAGGTGATCCGCCCGCCTCGGCCTCCCAAAGTGCTGGAATTACTGGCGTGAGCCACCTCACCTGGCCAGTTGTGAAGATTAACTGAAACCATGAAAATGTAGCACAGTCAGTGCTCAAAGATCAGTAGCTTTACTATAACTAAATCTGCCCAAAGCCCCGATTTCTTCTTCAGTGCCCACTCTGCCTAGGCCCCCATATTCTATTTCTGCCAACCTAGAGCAGCAGCAGCTGTACCAGCCAAGTGAGGCTATCTGGGTGGGGGGAGATGATGATGCAGGGCTCCTCCATGCCAGCTCTGGCTTGGACTATAAAACGCGTACTAATCACTGGTCTTACCTCCACGCTTAGCACTTAGCAGAAATGCCTGGGACCACGATTACCCTGCTGTCAATAGCTACACTAATCCGTTCAGCCCACGCCTCCTCGTTTTGTTATTTACAAGCTTCAGAACAGAGAGCAGAGCCATTTCAGATCCTGGACTCCAGCAGACCCCCGCTCACCTTCCTAGGGATGTATCCAAGGTCCTCCTCCCACGGTGCCTGCTGCCTCCGCCACCATGGACCTAATGGCCGGGTCCGCCGGGTCCATCTGCTCCTTTCATCCTGCACACAGCCGAAAGAGCTATCCTGCCAGAACACACATATCACACCTCCTCTGCCTGGGTGGCTTCTGTGGTCCTCAGGTTCAGCAAATGCAGCCTTCAAACGGCCTGCCTTCTGGCCTGGCATGGTCCCCAGGGTCATCTGTGCGCTCTCCAACAGGAGTCTCCTCCTCTCCCTGAGGGTCACTCATCCTCCAGGACTCCCCACCACTCCACGTGTTCCAGCAGGTGCCGTGCGGCCCTAGCTCAGGGCAGCCTTCTTCATGCCCCGCACAGCCAGCCTGTTTACACAGCGTCCACGTGTGCCCATAGCATCTAACACGCACAGTGCTGCCTGCAAGACGACAGTCCCCTTCTCCTTCTGTCTCAAGAGCTTCGGGCTCAGACACTGTCTTCTAGGGATGCCCTACTCCCCACCTTCCCTACTCAGCCTGTGTCTTCTCAGAAGAGCACAGTGAGCTGCGTGGAGCCTGCAGCCACCAGCCGATGCCACAGGGGCTGGTGGGTCATGGAATCACCCAGGACTTTCTGAGGGCAGGTGAGGGGAAAGGAAGGTTGATGGGGGCTGATAGGAGGGGTTTGGGGGATGGGGAGCAACAGAGATGGAAGGCTCCCCCTGAGGGCTGGGGAGCAGGGGACAGGCCTTCACATCTGCGTTTGCACGGTTCCCGGCAGGCCAGGCCACACTCACACACACACTCAATACCTGCACCCACACCCTCTCAACCACACGTTCAGCCCCCACTCTGGCTCCCCTGAGCCATCTACAGGCACAGGAGACTCCAGGGCTGGCTTCCCCAGCAGGTCTGCCCACCAAGCCTGGCTCTCTGGCAACTGCCACTCATTCCAACCGCAGAGTCAGGTCCCACGACCCATGGTCCGGCTCAGGGGAGCTCCCACTGCAAACACAGGCTCTGGGAAGGTGAGTGGAGACTTTGTCACAGGCTCTGAGCCATCAGGAGCCCATCCATGAAGCGGAGAGCTGGAGGCACAGAGGTCCAGTCCATGGGCCACCCACACCCCAGGGGCCAGTCCTTCAAAATAAAATTGTTGGTGAAGCATTGACTTCTCAACCCTCCAGACCCTGGCTGTCTATAATCTTTGTCTTCCGTGTACCCCCCTATCCAGGTTGGAACCCTTTTGCTGGACAAGAGTTCCTGGCAGATGTGCCCCCCAGATCTGCCAAGATCACCATGGCCGTAAAAGAAAGGAAGGGAGAGGGTGCACCAGGCCTTAACTGCTTCCAACGGGAAGTGACAGTCATTGCTGAAACTGGGAGGACTTGCTACACGTCCCACTTGTGGGTGATTACAAGGAGTCAATAGAACCCTGAGCCTGGCTCAGGCGGCGGCTCGCGTGACGGGACAGGCAGCAGCAATAACAACAGCGGTGGCAGCAGCACCCCCGCGGCTCAGGCGGCGCAGGCAGCAGCAACAGTGACGGCAGCAGCACCCCCAGTGGCTCAGGCCGGGGGTGCTGCTGCTGCCTGAGCTGAAGCCCGAGCCGCTCTCCTCCCACACATCTCTGGAGGCTCATCCCGTCTGGCCTTCCATGGCCTCAGCAGGATCACAGGACATCTGCGATGCTCCTTGCCCTCATTCTCCCAGCCAGCAGCCCAGGAAGGAAGCGCTCTTGGTGACATGCAGAAGGGAAGGAAGGAGACCCTCCCTCGGGGCTCTAGAGCCCACCCTGAACAGGGCCTTTCAGGGGAGGGGGTGAGAAGGTTCACCACCCTGAGGAGCCGGGTCAGAGCCCTGAAACCTTGTGTTCCCCGCTCCCTCACTCCCCGATTCAGAACTCAAGACCCAAAGCCCAGAACGGAACTGGACCCCAGCTCCTCTGGCAGCAGCCCCTGAGCGCCAGAGGACAGCTTCCCAGCTGACTTGAGGACCTGTGACCTCAGGGGATGCAGGGAAACACCAAGTGTCACTTCCAGCTGCACCTGCCCTCTGCCACTGCCCAGCAGTCCCAGGACCTGAGTCCCCTCCTTCCTGGCAGAGCAGCAGGTCCAGCACGGCTGGCCCCTTCCTCGGCGACTGCACACAGGGTGCTGGCTGAGCCCTCGCCCCATAGTTGGCAAGTCTAGAACCACCGGATCCCATTACCTCACCAGTGTGAGTTCTACCATTGCCAAAAACGGGGAGAGGCAAGCGGCCATGGGGCCAGGGAGCTGGGGAGACTTCGGCCTGTGCTAGCTAAGGGAGAGACAGGGATAGTTAGGATGGTCCAGGCAGGGCCAGGGCAGCGGCGCCCATCCCCGCAGCTGCAACAAGGTCTGGTGCATGGTCCTTCCTGCAGGGTCGCCCTGATGTGGAGGCCCTGCCTGCTGGTCCTGGTCCCTCCTCCCCTCCTGCCTCTTCCCCACCCCCCACTTCCCCCCCACCACCTCTCCTCCCTTCCCCTTATATCTGTAACCCTCAGTCACTGTGGGCAGGGATGGAGCAGACACCATCCCTAGGGCAGCCACCAGGATCTAACCCAGGCCCCCAGATGTGGTCACCGCTCCCCAGGGAACCTGAGAGCACCTCCACTCCCAGCACCTGACAGCAGGGGCTCCGGGAACCGGCACCAGCCAGGCCAGAGAGCTCTCTCCCCCACCCACCACCCGGAGCGAGCGCTAGAGAAGAGACGTCTAATGTGGGCTGGGTTTTGTTATTTACTAAGCCCACATCACTGCCCCATTTAATCCATGGAGACTGCTCCCAAGTCATTCCCCAGAGCCTAAAGCTCACAGGCTGCCCACCCCAAGGGGAGGAGGGGGTTGCTGCTCAAACATCCCTCCTCTCTATCAAGTACAAAGGAGGAGGAGCTTCCACTTCCCAGTCTCTTCCCTGAAAGCAGTGGATGGACACTGGGGCCGGGGCCTTCTACACAAGAACAGACACAGGCAGCCTCTGGGACCATCAGTCCACAGCAGGGATGGTCCCGGCTCCTCCTCAGCCCCTTCCTCTCCTCCCCGCCCCTCATATCTGTAACTTGCAGTCCCCGTGGGCAGGGATGGAGCAGACACCATCCCTAAGGCTAAGCTGAAACCTGCCAAATACCTCCCATCCAGACAGCATTCTCCTGACAGCAGAACCCACCACACACCCAGTAGCCCCTCAAACACCCAGACCCTTTGAGGGCTGGCTGCAATCTGATTCCTGGAATGGTACCTCCCCAGACCTCCAGTCACTTACCTAAGGACAGCACACTTCTGCATTCCCACATCCCCTGATGAGGCCAGGTCCTTTCCCAAGGGGTGCTGAAGCCCCTTGAAGGCATCTCAAGTCTTTAGCAAGGGTGAAGGCTGCCTGCCCCCCACCCCGCACCTGCATGCCTCCCCTGCAGCCTGGAAGGGACTCTTTGCTCCCAAGCCTCCTGGGCAATACGATCCCACCAGAAGCAGGCTCATTTTCCAAATAAGCTCTAGCTGGGGGAGTAGCTGACTTAGGGCAGGGCCCCTGAGATAACAATGCCACCACCCTTTCCACCCTCCCTGCCCTTTGGGGTGGCATGAGATGGGATGATGGCTTGAGATGCAAACAGATCCAGGCCATCCCCAGGGCCAAGTCCAGGACCTCAGCGGCACCCACACTGGACTGGCAGCCTGGACTTGGGTGTTGGGGAGGATACCTCTGCTCTGAAAGGAGAGGCCTGGTGGGGAGGTTTGGCCTCTGTGCAGAGGCTGGACACTGGAAGCCTCTCTGAGGGTGGACGGGCCTGCTGTGGGATGCCAGCAGCACTGGGCTGTCTTGGTCCCATGGAGCCCCCAAGCCTGAGACTTGGTGAGGAATCCACTCCCACCCTCCTCCAGTTTGTCTGTGGAGGGTCCTGTCCTCCTCCCCACCCAGCTGTGGCTGCTGCAGTCGGGCTCCATCAGCGATCAATGGAGCCGGATCGCATTTCCACCCGCCTGAGGCAGGGCAGAGACCAGGATAATGGCCTGGATTGAATAAGCAAATGGAGTGCTGGGGGAGGGCAGGGAGTCTGGAAAACCCACTCACACAGCCCTCCAGGGAGCTGCCCCTCCTGCCGCCCCACACACCCAGACAGGCACAGCAAGGTGTCCGACATGGTGGGTTAGGCCCTAAACCTGGGCACCTGGGAGCCGCTGCTCTTGACAAATACAGAAAAACAAAGCAAAAAGTGCCTCTGAGTGACCCTTCCACTCTGGCAATAAAAGCCTTCGGGAGAGCGTTCCGGCCTGATGGTATACCGTTGGACAGATCGTGGCCACAACCTTTTGCCCAACTCACAAACTTTCCGGAAGCCACACAAGGGAGGATCCAGGCCCTGTCCTGTAGGGTGAGGAGGTGAAGAGGGGCCCTCTCCCATCCTAAGTGCCCCCAGCATGGGTGGCGGGAAATTGTCTTCGGAGAGGAGGGCCAATGTGGCCCCCACTCTCTGGGACAGTCATTGTTGCAGGTGAGCTCACCACCCAGGCCTGGCCCAGATCTAGGTAAATTAGGGATAGAAACCAGCTCTAGCCTGAGGTCCTCCCCTGGAGTGCTGGAGCTGGGCCCCAAAGCATCCAGGCCTGAAGCCTGGCAGAGGCACACCCCCACACCAGTGCTGCACAAGGGGCTCAGCAAAGGCACCCACCTGGGCAGGTGTGAGGAACTGCAGACCACCCAGTGGCTGAGGGCAGCTTCTGTCATCCGGCCTTCCCTGCTAGGCAGGAAGGAACAGAACCCTGGCCAGACACTTTCAACACTTCAGAGGCTCCAGGGACAAGCTCTAGAACCAGTCACTGCCAGGGGCCTTCCAACCCCCCTGGCTGGGGGTCTCTGTGCCCACCCCACCTCCAGGGCTCATTCTCACTCAAGCCGGAAACTCCCTTCTCTCCTGCCCCTGGGACCTGCAGCAGGGAGTCCTAAGGAAGCACCCAGGGGCAGAGGGCTGGAGCACAGAGACAGGGGGGCACAGGCCAGCCAGGTTCTGGGGGGCAGAGGGGGAGCTGGGGCCATCAAAAAGGAGACCAGCTACAGGGATACCTCACCAGGGCAGAAGTCCCCTCCTATCCTGAAATAAGCTCCTCCTTTTCTCTGCAGGGGTTTGGAGAGCTTCTGCAAAAAAACGCTGGTACCACACCCCAGAGGGGATTTATCAGGGGCTCCTCCTGATAGCAAACTGGCAAGAAAAACGAATGGCCCAACCCACCCAAGACAGTCCCCAGGGCACCCCAGCAAGCAACACTGGTGGCTGTGTCCCCACTGCACAGTCAGTTGGACCCGTCATCCTCCAACTGACAGCTTCAACCTCACGCAGCCCCCACCCCAGCACTCCCTGGCTCAGCCACCTAAAATGACTCACTGATCTGGGCTAAGTCCACCAGCCCTTGCCTGAGGCTCCCCGGGAGACACAGTCCCATCAGGGCTTGGCCCAGTGACCTAAGGGCATGACAGCTCCCAGCTGGTCGGTGTCCCAAGTCGGCCACTGGCTTCCTGCTTGATGGCTGGCCAGGCTCTCCCCAGCTTTAACAGACTAGATCCAGGCCTCCCAGCCTCAGTATCTGCCATCTGGGACATCCTTGGGAGCCCAAGCCTGTAGGTTCAGAACTGAGATCAGGCCCTGGGTGCCTCCACAGGTGTGGTAGAGTCACAGTGACCCAGCTCTACTACTCACCAACCTCTTCAGCTGAGCCTCTCCTCTCAGAGCCTTAGGGGCCCCATCTTTCAGATAACTATTTAAAAACTACAACCCCACAGGGCAGAGGTGGGAACTGATGGGATTCTGTATGTAAGTCACCTGACACAGATGGACAGCACAGGCCAGTTATCATAGCCTGGATCCAGGGACCCAGGAAGCCACATTACCAGTGTGTGTGTGGTGTGTAAAGGGAACATTGGCCTCTGCCCCAGAACCTTCCAGGGGCAGATCTGAACCATGCCCTCTAACTCCAAGCCCCACTAAGTATCCACCTCCTCTCAGAGCTGTCCAGAGATCACCCACTCCATAGCAGGCTCCAGCTCCAGGGATGGTAGTCTGCCAGAAACACCCAGGCTGACCTCAAGGGCATCCCACCTGCCTGGGGCTGCCCCCTTCAGAACCTGCAGCAGAAGGCCAGCTCCTGTGTTGCCAGCCAAGGTCTCATCCCAAGCATGTGCTGGGAGCCCGTGTGGGCCTTTCCAACCCACGGCACCATTCAGGATGGCCCTACAGATGGCTTCAGACTCCCCCACCTCTGCCCTGGGCGGCCCCATCTGCTGGTCCAGCTCAGATTGCTGGGCTCCCAGCTCCACCGTGGCCCCAGGCAGTGTAAGGCGATCTGGCTGCCCACCAGCGCTGGGCCCTCACACAGCAGCTGAGCCAGATGGGCTGGGGAGGCAGCGAGGAGGCCTTGAGGAGAAGCAGGCTGGGGCCCCAACACGAGGATGCAGGGGAGGCAAACGCAGCTGCGGCATCCTGCTTTTCCCATATTGGCACTGCACATGATTGCTCAGAGCGGAGAGAAAAGCAAAAATGTGCTAGTGCCAAAATCGGCCAAGCAGATGACACTGGTGCAGGCTCTCTGGGGACGCACTGGACAAGAAGCCTTGCATCCCTGCACTCTTGGAAGCAGCCTGTTTCCGACATCCAGGCGCACTCGAGGCAGATGGGGCTGAGGCGCTCCCGAGGCCCTCGAGGATCTGTCTCTGCTCTGTTTATGGCCCTTCGGTAATTCACTGACTGAGACTGTTCACAGTGAATTCTACCAGTGCCATACACAGAACAGGAGTCACGTTCTGCGGCCTGCTGACCCTGCGGAGAAACCAGTGGCCCACAATCCCCCATCTCGGCGCCCAGTCTGCCCACCCTCTTGGGGGCCCCAGCAGGCCTGCAGCAGCGACTGCTACGGTCTCCACCCCCCACCCCAGCCCTCCTCACCCTCCTCTCACAAGCTCCACGTGCCCCATCAGCACAAGATGACCTTCAAGGAGACGGGACAATGCGGGAGAGGGTCTGACCTCCTGGCCTTGCACAGGGTGGAGGGAAAAGACCCTATCAGGGGTTTCCTGTCTCTGCCTGAAGGCCTACCTCCCCTCACATCACCCAGGCTGCCCCACCAGGCTGGGGAGAGAGTGGGACAGGACCATCCACCTCCTTGCCAGAGTGACTCTGGCTCAGAGTGGCAAGCAGCTGGCCATAGCCTCCTCTCTACCCATCCTGCCACAGGGGCAGTGACCAGCGGGACATCCAAGCTGCCTCCTGTGGCCTCTGAGCCCAGGCACCTGCAGCCCAGGCTCCTAGGCACTGTCTCCATTATCCCCCCATCCCCTAGCCTGCCCTGTGGCAGAAACAGAGCCCCAGGAACAAACCAAATCTGCTGCTCACCCCCACTCCCATCCCAAACCAGACGAGACTGGACCTGACCATGAACAGCCCAGGCTGGGCATCTCTGCTGCCAGCCTAGGACCAAGGTGGAAAAGGCCAGGATGGGAGGGCAGGAGGGAAGTCCTACAGCCGCTGAGGCAGCTCGGAGGCAGCCAGAGGCACAGATGCACTCTAGCAAGGGAGTGGCTCCTGGCTGGCTCTAGAGTGACTATGGAGGAAAACGGAGGCCCGGGAGCGAGGGAGGGGCCGAGAAGATTGCATCAGTGGTTGCCAGAGCAGCTGCCTAGAGAGAAGTTGCTGTGGAGGCCCCTGCCTCTGGTGCCAGGGGCTCTGGGGAAAGATGAGAAGGAGAGAGAGGGTAGGAGGGAGGGTCTGTGGGGACCTGGTGCCCAGGGCATGTGGGCTGAGGCCTCCACAGAGCGGCCACTAGAGTCTCAGCCTACTCCAGGTCAGCCTGTTGCCCAGAAGGCAGGGTAGCTAGAAAGCACCCTGGAAGGTCCAGAAACTATGCAGACCTCTTGGCAATGCTACCCCCAGGAACTACCTCCTGGGGACCTCAGGGCTACATCCAGTAACCCAGGCCAAAGCCATTTGCTCTGCCCTAGACACTGCTTAATGCTCCACCCTTCCTGTTCCCAAGGACTGCTTGTCCTGCTTCCACACAGCCCCAGTGCAGGGCTCTGCTCTTCTAGCCCGCCCATCTCCCCAGAGGACAATCCAGCTTGATGAGGTGGTGGTCTTGGGAAGTCACTCCCAGCCTTCTGCCTCAGTTTCCCCTACTACAAGCTTCTGAACTCTACTAAAGAGACCAGATTTCCCAGCCTTGGGTGGGGGGTGATGGCAGGGTGTTAGCAAAGGGTAAGGGGAGGGTCGTGATCAACATTGCTTAGGGTGTAGGCAGAAGCATCACCCAAAGAGCCTGTCGAAATGTAGATTCATGAGCCCGCCTGGAAATCTGCATTTTAATAGGCATCCTGACAGCTCAGCAAGGGGCAGGGTTGGGAAGAATCTACTTTGAGAAATCTTTCCCAAGAAGCCTCACCCCAGGATAATTAAACAGAATGCAGAATTTTTCTTTCTTCTTTTGGGGGCAGCCAGGGACGGGAAGATGCAGCAACTTGCAATCAAGGAGCCAAAGAGGCCTCAGAGCTGGAGAACAGAGGATGGGAGTCAGGGATTCTGCTCTCCCCAGCCCAGGAAGGAATAAAAGAGACCCTAGGTAGAGGAGAGAGCCCTGTAACAAAGCAGCCAAACATGTACGTTCCTTCTGACTAATTTCGGCATCTCCATTAAGCTCCCATATCTGTTTTTCCTCATCTTTGTAACCAACATGGCATGGAGTACAGGGAGATGCTCACAAAGCCAAATCCCCTTCCAGCTTCCAGTTCTAGTCAGCTGGGCCAGGCTCCTCCCCTGCGCCTGCCTCACCCCTCCTAACCCAAATGCGACAGAAAGCCCAAGTGCCGCAGTGCCTGGGGTGTGCCACGCCCGCTGGGGACTCTCCAACCCAGTGGAGGCAGGCTGGGGCCTGGACCCTAGGGAAGCAAGGTCTCTCTCCCACCTCTCTCAAAAAGGGGGTGAGTGAAGCTCTAAGATATCAGCAGCAGACTCCCCATTCAGAATCTCAAAATGGAAAACAGAGGCCTCTGGCTTGGGGTGAGTCAGGATGGCAGCCTCTTCTGCCCTCCCTGCAGGACATGGCCCTGACCTTGACATCAAAGGCAAAGAAATCTGCTTCTGGAGTGGAAGGTGAAGACAGGGTCTCCCACTCCCGCTGGGCATCAGCGCCTGGCAGTGGACCTAAGGAGACGCATCTAGCAGGCCAGGCTGGGCAGCGAGGGACTCAGAGGGTGTGTGGGGGTCCTACCCATCCTAGGAAGTCTCAACTAAGCACCGCCCTCCCACCTTTGGTTGCTCTCAGCCCCACCCTCCTGAACTCTACTTGGGCCTTCCTAAAACTTAAGAGTCCCCTTTCCCCTAGGGGTGTCCCTCTCTGGACACTGGTGCCCGAGGCAAAGGGCAGGTCCCCAATCCCTTGCGGTGTTAGAGGTGAGTGTTGCAAGACTCTCGGCCTATCCACCCCCGGCTCTCCTCTCGACCTTTACACAATGAATCTGGAGTCTGGGGTCCCAGCGGCGCCAGCCACAACCGGTCCGGTCCTGATCCCTCGAGTCTCTATCAAATGCCCCAGCGATCCCAGGGGCTAGGGGCCGCCGGGGCCCTTGAACGGGCAGGCCCGGGACACTCCGCTGTCGCCCTGTCTCCCCATGAGGTACCGGGAGAGGGGCCCAGAGCTGCTTTACTCGCAGCACAGGCTGCCACAGAACCATTACAAACTCAGGTGTCTGGGGTGCGGGGCTCACTCCAGGAGCCACTGGGCCCCGGTAGTAGAAAAAGAATAAACGAAATCCTCACAAGTGAGGCCGGCATCCTGGAATTTTCTCTTCTTTGTGTAAGGCCAACTCCAGAGGTCCTTCTAACTCCCCCGCAGGCGCATGAAGGGGAGGCCGTGAGCCTTAAAGAAACGAGCAGTGGTGGAGGCTGCCGCTCCGCGCCGAGGTCCGAACCGAGAGCCGCGCGGGGAATGTGGGGATCAAGGCTGAGAGCTGGGCTTGGGGCAGATTCCTCTGGGATTGTTCAGGCCACGATGAGGCCACCAGGACAGTTTTCTCCGAAGACTGCCTCGGATCAGAGATCCGCAGAATCGTGCCCATCGGGCTCACTGCGGGGACAGGCAGAGGGTGATGAGCACCCGTGCTGCAGAGTGACCCAACCCGAGAATCCGCCACCTGGCTTGCAGGATTTTCGGCCTCAGGGGCTTTGCGAAGCCGAGCGGAAACCTGGGAGGCTCGCCGCCGCCCCTCACCGGTGGGGGTGGGGAGGTCGATTAGGGCACCGCCCGCCCTCGGCCCTAATCTCTCTGAGCCGGCCTTAGTGCCTCTGCCCCCCGGCAGGTATTACTATACACGATGTCGGGGAGCCGGGGCTGGAAGGGCAAACGAATGGCTCAGCCTGGAGGGCTCCGCAGAGTCGGGAGACCCCCGGGTGACACCCTCACTGCCCACATCCCTAGGATGCACTGACTGCTGAGGCGCCCGAGGCACGCCGTCCAGCCGCCGATCTTGGCGCAGGGCTGGGGACCCGGGTGCCCCTAGTGCCATTAAGAGGAATGGGGCAGGCACGGGCGAGGGACGACGTCTCATCTGGGTGCGCCGGGGTTCGCGGGATGAGTGGCCCCGAAGTGGAGGCGCGAGGGAGGTCCGAAAGCCGCTTTCCCCCAAAGACTGGGCGGGGCGGCTTCGTGCCTCGAACCTGCGGCGCAACCTGGGAAAGGCGTTGGAGGAGCCAGCTCCCCGCAGCCCCCTCCCCGCCTGGCACTTCTACCTGAGCCCACCAGGGCGGCGAAACGCCGGCCCGACCCCAGCCAAACTCCTCTCGGGCAGGCGCTCGGGCCCGCGCGGGTACGCACCTCGCCAAGCACCGGCCACACTCCGATCGCGGCCGCCCCCGCCCGAGAACAGCTCTGAGAGCTGGGCAGACGCCACTGGGGGACCTGGAACTCCGACGCCCCGTGAGCGCCTCCACCTGAAGGCGCGGGAGAGCGAGTCCGCACTGCCGCGTCATCCCCGAAGGCCCTCCGCGCCCGGACGCCTGCCCAGCACCGGGTTTTAGCGCGTCGGGCCCCCGGCGCCCGCCTCCGCCTCCCCTCCTGCGCCTCGTGCAGGCTCCGCCCGCCGACCCCCCGGACACTCACCTGCGCCGGCTCCGGGCTGGGCGCACCACCGCCTCCCAGCTCCGCGCGGAGTCTACACTGGAGAAGCCAGGCAAAAAGGACCCGGGTTCAGAAAGGGCGGCAGGAACGGAACTTGAGGTGCGCCCGGCCCTGGCCGAGGGCGGCGCCCCAAACCTCCACTGCCCCGCGAGAGGAGGCGGCGCCCGAGCGCGGAGCCCGGCGGGGGAACAAAGAGAAGCCGGGACCCGGCCGCGCGCTTCCTGGGTGTCGGGTGACAGGTCTACCGGGGAAGGCCCCGGTCCGGCCACCTGAAGAGGAACCGCCTCCGCGCGGCAGGCGGGGG